CTGGTACTCTGTCTGGGACATAGGTGCCGGTAGGTATTTGTACCTTGATCAACTCAATCATCCATCTAATCAATAAACCTCTGACTGATTATTTCCACAGCTGAAAACCAAATCCAGGGTCCTCATTAATCGTCCTCAGGGTTGCCAAACTAAAGACGTACGGTAACGGGAGAAAGCATTTGGAACAATGGAAAAAGTATAAAATGCCTCGATAAGGACTCTGGTCTTTGGTGGTGAATCCGTGGCTGATTTCCAGAAGCGAGAATCTTGGTGGGCAACCAGTGAGATTCTCGCAAATCGTCCTGGGATTTTCACATGAAGCTGGAGAGAAGTTCGGAGAAAGAGGAGGCGAGACTATATGGATGATCTTTGCGACGGACTACCTGTGCTCGACCTAGTCGATATCTAGTCTCTACCTATAGAATGGACGGAGTGGACAAGCTGCATCGAATCGCGGTGGCGATATCACCAAGTAGGTCGGTTGTAGATGTATTTTGGATATCGGGAGAGGGTTCTACAATGGGATTTCTTTGCAGATGGCTGTAAAAAGTAATAATGTAGGTAGGTACATATTAACCATTCCGTGCTTCCCCTTGATATTGGCATCCGGTACTGTGATATCTTGCAGATAACTTGACTGATGACTGACTGACTGACTGACTGACTGACTGACTGTCTTACTGATTTATTCTAGAAGGAAAAAGCCTCTGACGGAATTAACGAGAGAGCTGAACATTGGGCGTTCATATTAGTAGGTAAGGACTAGGTAGATAACTTCTTGAAGATTCCTGTATAACCAGCCAAGACATTTGTATCCTCTCTACTCCGTTCCGTTCAGCTGGACAATGGAACAGAGGACGGAGTGTAGATAGGTCCCGTACCAAACTTCATCTCATTGAACAACGCATAATCTTTAATCTCATGGTTTCAAGGACTTTGATTATGATTGAACAACACAATACCTACAATACGATACCTCCCTCTCTTCCTTTCCTAGGAACCACATACAATACAATATTACGATGTTTTGATCTCATCATCTTGATCACGCACACACCGCTTCTCAAAGAGAGAACAGCTATGAAATCATTCTGCATCGTAATTTTCCCATCACGAGGGCGCCCTTTCTGTTTCATATCAATTTAGATTCCCGTTACCGTGAAGATACAGAAGATTTGGGTATAACTACCTCGACCGTGTGATTTCTTGGGGACAACAGACCATCGGTTCCGAGTACATCTACGTACACGATACATAATCAGACAGTGACGAAGAGCATGTCCAAGGAAGAATACTTCCGTTCTTAATTGTCCATCGATGAACATACATATTGCACGAGGAGCTAAAACTAAGAGATTCATTATCACTCAATAAACTACCTAGGTATGCTTTGATACATCCAAAGTTGTCTCTACCTATCTCGTCCACATCACCATCGCAATTCCGCAGTTCATGGACTTGGAGACCTTCAATCTCAACCACAATGACCTGTTCATCTCGATGATTCTAGTCCACAATATCTACGAGAATACCAGAATCATTATCAAATCCCCAATACAATCATTCTCAACTCTACATAGGTATTTGTCTCGGACAATTAATGCGTCGCTTGAAGAGGAAAGCCTTCTCCGGTCAACATGTGACAAAACCCCCCAGCCAAGCTGTCCATGAACCAATCACATTCCTTTCTTTCCCTCCCACAACTTACAATTATTGGCGCCAAAATATCCATCTTTTCTTTTCTTTTCCTTTCCAAAGAACGTACCGAGCGTACCTACCCGTAGACTTGCTTGATCATCAAACGTCCGTTCTCATCACCATCCCCACCACCGCTGTCAAAACTCTCCTCACCGCATCTCCACCACATGAGACTTTCCTAGTCATCAAACCGTCTGTGCCATTCCATCCATCCATCCATCCATCCATCCATTCATATTCTCTCGCCTCTTTTCGCCATCCAACTCTATCTTGTGCTGCCCATCCACCAATCTTCTACCCGCGAGGCCATCCATCCGATCAATGAGTGAGTGAGTTCATTGCCGCCCGCCTCAGCATTTGTCATCAACCTTGACGTGAGATCATAGGTAGCTAAGGTAAGCTCGAGGCAAGTACCGGTAAATATATCCACAACTCAAAATTCTCATCCACGACTAAGATTTCTTGCTTACATGTTACCCATCAATGATCTCGATATTCTTTTTTTGGATCCTATCCTACCAATCATATTGCCCACGTCGTGTTTGTATCAACCAATCTTTGCGGTTATTATCTTAAGCTTCTTGTTCTCGGCGCTTACATTCTGATACTCTGTCCAATTGTGAAACTCTTCTTTCATGTGTACATCCTCCATTACAACAACGGCTTTCCTTTCTCCGTCTCCTTCTCCTTCTCACTACAACCTCACAGCTTCTTTTCACAAACCTCGAATACGAAATCAGGTTAGTAGTATGTAACCCAGATACCTAGATACCTTCCAGCATCCCAAATCCGACAATATCACAACAAAAAAAGCACGTGCGTAAAAACACCAGCTTGAGACGAAATAAGCACCCCCCCCTCCAAAAGAGGAACCCGAAAAATAAAAACGTGGGTGTCATGCATGCACGCGAATAAAGTCCTTGTCTGCAATGCATCGCATCACATCAAAGAAGGTTTATGTAAATAATCTTCTGGAAGGAGGAGGGGGCACGTGTCATGAGATGTGCTATGTGAAGAGACAGACTTGCGAGATGGCGCTTTGTGTGGGTTTGTTATGAGGATATTTTATCGTTCGAATTATTTGATGTTTTTTTGTTGATTTTTTGATTTTTTTTAGGGTAAAGTGAGTGCGGAGTTATGATCTGAATAATACTGCGAATAGATAAGTTCATTTGTTTATACAGTATTGTTTTTTGTATTACGGCGATTACAAATTTGTGGATGTAGGTACCTACCTATCGATTTTTTTTAGATTTGGTATAGGGCACTTGTTACTTGGTCTTAGTTTTCATTTTCCTTTCATTTTTCATTTTCATTTTCCTTTTCCAGAACCCAGAACCCAGAACACGCGAGCGAGCATGAAACGGAATGGGTTTGGAGATGAGGGGGAAAGGGGTTATGGCTGTGGTTTCCCTCTCCACGGAATGTTTTCGGTCCGTTACTGGAGGTGTTTTATGCTTGCTTCTTTCTTAGTGCTGGTGTTGTTGTTTTTTCTGTGGGATATATGGTTTTGCGATGGTGCAGATACCTGGTTAGGTAGGTAAATTCGTTTGTTTGTTTGTGGGATAGTTAGTTGATTTCTCTGAGCGTCGTTAATCGCGAATCGTGATGCTTAACTCAAGTGGTAAAGTAAAAGTAAAGCGATGGTCGTCGTCCGTTTCGTTTCGTTTCGAATACCTACCTTCAGATATTTGATTCTGATTCTGATTCTGAATAGTTTCAGATTTTCGAGAATACGGGGTAGATGATGAGCCTGCGCGGGTTATTCACCTCCTTCTGAATCTGTTTGTTTGAGTCGTCTCGAGTCTCGAGGCTCGAGGCTCAAGCAAGTACCGGAATGGCCTATAAACAGGGTGATGGATCCATTCTCTGCGTGTCTAGTTTGTTTCTTCTTCTTCTTTGTGAATCTTGAGGAGAGAGTCTGTGGGTGGGATGGTAGGGGTTAAGTAACCGAGGATTATAGATCTCCTCTTTTCGAGATTTGAGATTCGACTCATTCGAGATTCGAGACTTCAGAGTCTGGAGTCTAGAGTTTAGAGTCGAGATTGCTTTCGGTCTGTGTCTCGTGATATGTATATCATATCACGTGTTACGACAGACACTGCTCGTGAGATTGTGAGGGCTTCCGAAGCTTTCTTCTCTTCTCAGTTTCACTCATTCTTGAGAATGGTGATGGGAATGAGAATGAGAACGAGAGAGAAGTGATGTATGATGATAAGTAGTACTTGATTGCATTTGAAGTCGATAATACTTAGGGCTATGAAACACACGTGATTATGATCTCGTTTGCTATACATCGATTGATATATTATACCCACCTAGATATTGAAGGCTAGGGGAAGAGGTTGAATTTGATTCATTTATGTGTATGTGTGTATGTGTGTGTGTAAGATACATTCTTCGCGTCATGATAATGATTTACTCAATCCGTATTCTATTCACATCTTTGTTGTAATCTTACAAATTAAAACATGCTCAATTTGGGTTTGGTTATGTTAATGTTGTTCTTGTTCCTATTGTTCTTCGCACGAAATGGATATTATATCCTCACTATAACGATAACTTATCTATACAGGTATCTGTTCAGTTCATTGATTGCGAAAGTTTTGTATGCTGTGTATGTTTTATTTTTGGTCTGGTTTTGAGGAGTTGGAAAGGTATGTGGAGTGGAATTGTGATGTGATTTTTTTCTTCTTTTCTTTTCTTTTACTTTCTTTTCTTATCTTCATGTCCCAAGTGTGCTGGATTGATGGCGCAATGCGAATGTGGGATGTACGGGGAATTGATATGAAATGGATGGGGTGAGGATAGGATTTGTAGATGGGTTTTCGGCGAGGGTAGGGAGTGGGGTAGGGGGTGGGTATTGTTTGGTTTGCGTAGCGTCTTTGTGGGGTTTGCAGATGGATGGAGATGGAGTTGCGAGTGTAAGATTTGGTTTATGTGTTGATTCTTGAAGATCCCTCAAGTGGAATATGGAGGGGTTTAACCGAGCTTCTGGGGAGAGGAGAGGGCGGGGAGAGTTTCTATATTCTAATGATTAATTAATTGTTGATGATTATTTAGGTTGATAGGTGTGGTGTATCTGTATTTTTATAATTATTTTTTCTTTTTTTATTGATTTTATCATTTTCGATATTCAGATTCAGCAGGTGGAGACGGAGACGGGGATGGAGGTTTCTGCAGTATTTGGCGCAGGTCTTGCTATTGGTATTGGTGCATACGTGTATATATTTCTCAGGGAATCGGTGTATATTTATCGCGTTGAGTGATGCAGAGGGTGGTCTAGGTCTAGGTAAGATTACCTAGTTATTGAGATCCTCGAAAGTTTGGGGTGGAGGGGTCTGGGTGGAGGGGTGTGGCATGTTGAGGGCACGATGGGGTGCCATGGGATAGGTATGGTATGGTATAGGAAGTTCTGTTTCCTTTTCCTTTTTGGTGGGTTGTTTTGTTTTGTTTTGTTGGTAACGGATGGGGCTTTGAAATTCTGAAAGTGTGAATATTTGAATATGTGATGGTGTACATGTACAGTGATTCGCGAACAAGGAGTGGGGAATTGAATGGATTTGATGGTTAGTTAGCTTTGTGATGGATGGTTACTGGTTAGTTATTACCTCGTTGTTGCATTTTACGTTTCTTGCTTGTTTGTTGGTTTGGGATTTTGGAGATGAGTGGGGATGAATGGGTTAATTCAAGTGATTCGGAGAGTGTTGTTTTTTTCTTCTTCTTTAGGTAGAGTTTCTAGACGAAGTTTTGAATTTGGGATTTCGGGAGGAGGGAAAGAGGAAAGAGAAATCGATCGTATGCTACTAGACCGGAATCGCGGGATTTTTTGGAATTTGGTATGTGTGATAGATACTTTCTGTGGATATTTTAGTGGAAGATCACATATGGATTTTGGGTGGTGGTGGTGGTGGTGGTGGTGGTGGTAGAATCCGAAATGCATGAGTGTATATTTCTTTATTGTTTATTTTGCGGAATTTAAGAATTCAATTTGGTCTGTGGGTTTTGATGAGGTTTATGGGATGTGCTGGTAGAGTGAGGGGTGAGAGGTGAGGGGTGAGAGGTGAGGGGGTGTTTGTGGTTGTGGTTGTGGTTGTGGTTGATATCAATTTTTGTCGGGGGATGATAGAATGATAGATGATAACGATGGATATCATGTGTGGATGGATATACGCCCCGCCTCGATATCTATAGTGTTCTACGCTATTTGTTTATGATGGTGATCTTATTTCGTGTGGTGGGGTCTGTATGAGGGATGCGTAGGTGTTTTTTGATGGGCACCCGGTACTGCAGTATGCTTTCTGTTGTGTTGTGTGTATGTGTTTATTAGAGAGATAATGATGATGATTGTTGCTTTGATTTAGTTTGGTTTGGGGGATATCGCATGTACCTGGGTACTTACTGTTTGTCTGGTGGGAAGCTAATACAGCTTGCTTGTTTATGATTGGCGGAGATTGATCATAGTTTGGTTTATAGCTGGCGGAAGTCTGCCGTGCAGTGCTTTCCTGTATCATTGACCATAGCATGCTTTGTCTGCATGGCATTTATCTACTTTCCCGGTTTTTTGTAGGGGTTTGAGTATCTAAATGAAGACTTGTGGAAATCTTGCTTTCTTTGCTCAGTATCTAAGTTCAAGTTCTTTGGTTTTTGATGTGTTGTCAGAAAGTTGGATGAATAGATGTAAGACTATCGTCCTTGGTCTCAGCAAAACTGGTATGATCTGATTCCCGGAGAAATCCACGCCGTTGGGCTTGATGACTTGATATCTCTTGGCGAATTGTCAAAGATCACTCGTGTAGTTATCGGATCCTGGTTGAGAGGGATTGAGAAGTAGATTATTCTGGCAGCGTGGTGGAAGGGATTCATCTTTAGCTAAGTACAGCGGATGAGATTGGAAGGATGGAAGTGTATACCTAATCTTGTAGTTGAAATCGAGCTAGAGGCTAGAGTCATTTTGACGGGAATTTTGTGAATCGAATCGTAGTAGTATGGCGTGGGAACACACGTGAGATTTCTCTCTAGACAGAGTTGGTCTTGGGAATGTCTTGAGTTTCATCACAGTGGCGGGGGGAAGTTCCTTCGGGGGGTAGTGTGTTTGGATGGAGCTTTCTTGTTTGATTGTGAGGAATTAATGGATTGGGATATTAGTTTGTTGGGGGTCGGGGACTTTAAATTCGATGCGATGCGCGTCACTTTGTTCTTTCAGAAGAAATGGGTAGAGTCACTGGTGGGGTTGGTGTTGAATATTTCCTCTTCGAACTGGGGTTGTGTGTTGCCCGTAGCGGCAATGCTTACCAATGTGGTAGGGGGAGGAACCCGGTTTGTTGGTTCGAATGATAGACATCTTCATTTGGTGTTCAGTGTGCACTTAATATGTGCTATCATTTTTCTGGAAACGATAAAGTCAAGGCGAGAACAAATTATTGAATATTTCCACCAGTATCATATTAAAGGACCTCGCGCATAAGTCCTGATAAGTCTCTTATATAAATATGTTATTTATCGTTGTCCGTGTCTTCTTTTTGCGAGACTAACCTCGTGCCTATTGTCGACAAGAAGCTCTGCATTTATGATTTGCAGTACGCATGTCATTCTATGAAGAAGTTTAATAGTGAAGTTATCTTCATAACTTGCAAGTCATAATGGAACAAAATATACTCCTTGTGATCTTCCTCGGTATCCTTAGCTGTCTGTCGCGTTGGGGTCCTGGGTCGTTTGCTATCGTATGTTAGTTTGAGGATAGTATCAAGGTGAAAGCTCTCCTCGTTAGTGCTATGTTCATAAAAAACCATTTCTTCGTATTTTTGTATTGGCTTCTATTATATTGCAGCTGATTTTTTGTGGGTATATTTTTTCAACATCGGAGGGATCTCTTTCAGAAGATGCATGAGCATGAACATACTTTTCTAACGGCTGTTTGAGTTGTAATCTTACATATCTATCGTGAGATCATGGACCTGCTGTTATGAAGTTAGCTCAAAGGATACAGGTGTGACGACCATGAAGACAGGTACTTGTCGAGTCATCGCTCACATACATTATCTGGATTGGAGTACTGTGCTTCATGGGGATACGTAAGTACTTGTCAATGAAGCTTCGATAATTATGGCTCAGGGGCGTGAGAGATGAAGATTAACTAGGTGTTGAAATGACATGATGTTTTACTTGTTTTGAAGGTTTGATCGTGGTAATGTATTGTATATCTATGGTATTGTGCTCTCGTTTTGAGGTTTAAATTCAAATTTGTACTCAATTCCGGTGGGAAATAATTTTTTGTGACGGCTCTGCTGCTACTGTAGTCTTCTTTGAATACTTTGTCGCATCGATGTTAAATGTATATAACATCTCGCCGTTTGGAGCTCTTTTCTCTGGATTTCCGAAGAAGAGAAAGGTTAAAAAGGGAGGGGAGGCGGAATAATTCTTAGATCTGATTTCTGGATCTTCAAGTCGGAAAAAAATAATTGTTGAATCTGATACTTTTGAGGATTCATCGTATGTATTGATATTTGTAGACTCGATTTTGTGTTTCTTTGAAGAGGGAATGTCTGATAAGTAGGTGCTTACTGTTATATCTGAGCCTCGTGAGATTATTTTTCTGTACGACTTTGATCTCACCGAAGCAGCCTTGTTGAAGTTTTCTCATATGGTGTTTATTGATTGGCGTGGAGTCAAGCAGAAGAGAGGAGCTCACGATTGGTTAATCCATGCATGGAGTGGTAAGTGCTTGCCGAAAATGCGTTTTTGTACATGCATGACTTCTGAGGGGAATTCAGGTAAACGGGAGGTTAAATAGGACGATTTAGCACAACTTTGGCACCAATTAGAAACGCTAGTGACTGGTGCCTCGTGTGGCCTGAGTAATCAGTATTGGCGATGCCAGAGTTGTCTAGCCTAATCAATTCCAACAGTTCCAATAGATAGCTGTTTTCAAAGGTGGAGTCGGAGGACTCCAGCGGGCTGCACCTTCAGGGTACGAAGCTGCGCCGAGAATAGTGGCGTTCTCGCCTCGCTCGCCATGAAAATTTTGAGTACAGAAAGTCATCGTTCACCACGTCAACATTCTGATGATTGATCAGAATAAAAGATGCGTACTCTGGATGGCGCCTCTACCAGGGGGGAAGGGGGAAGGGGGAAGAGAGGGTTGCAGAAAACGTTTAATATAAGTATCAAGAATCTCTCATCAAGAATATTTTTTGTTGATTCTTAGATCAATCATTCATCGGACCTGGATTCAAAAAGAACTTGGATTGAAACATCTTTCTACTTAATTGATTACCATACCATCTCATCTCTTCATATTTACGACAAAAGTCACCAACCACCCCGGCCCCGTCAAGCCAATCACTAGAAAATCTGCCCTTGCTGATATCAGCCTTGCATTTCCATTCAGTCCAGTAATCTTCTCCACCTATCGTCAGCCTTATTACCCCGCGACCCGTACCTGTATCCGTACCCGTTACGAAATCCTCCAACATGTCTCCACAAGATACCATCGCCATCTGCTTCGGCATCATCACTTGCCTTATGAGTCTCGTCGGACTTATTATATCTTATCTCAGTCTGAGGATTTGTATGAGACATCCTCATCAGTCTGATAGTTAGTCTTCATTTTATTCTGTATCTTTACATTTTATGATGGTATCTGATACTGATTCGATATAATAGTATCGGTTCATGCCCCAAACAAATTTCATAGACATGAGCATATCGTCATCCATCCATCTTCATTTCCATCTTCCTCAAGTGGAATGTCTTATGGGTATGAGGGGTTTGAGGGTGTAGGTTCAAGTCCAGGTTTGGGCTTAGTGAAGAGGAATCAGGTGTAATGGGCTGAAGAAGTCGAGGACAACATGTATTCACCCATCCATCTTTGTCTTCCAAAAGCGAACTATCTTATGGGTATGAGGTTTTTAAGGGTTTGGGCTTAGTGGGTTGAGGAAGGAGTTGAGCTTGGTCGGGAATAGTGTCTGGTATGATATGTTATGTTATTTCGGTGGATATACGGCGTGGTGGCTTGATCAAAAGAGAAGGAAACTATTGGGCGTTTGGGCGCAGTGAAAAAAGCTATGAAGATATGATCAATGAGTATACGAATAATCAATCTGGGAATTGGGAGTTAGAGGTTGGAGGTTGGAGGTTAGATGAAGACTAGAAAATGTTATTATCCTATAACTGTATTGTATGTACTTATTGCCTCTATTCAGTATCCCCTTTGTAAGTCTTCTCAGGCTGAGTGTATATATAGATTTTAATGGTTACCTACCTGTATTATATTTCCTTTCTAATATAATTTTTTATTCGAGTAATTAATAGACGAGAAATCTCAAATAATCTCATGACTATCGCTAACCTTCGGTTGTCTAATAGTTACAATAAGAAATATGATTTATTCTGCCTTGGAAATAGCTGAATAATATTAATATGTATTAGTATTAGTTTTACTATTACTACTACTTTCTCAAACATACTATAGTAGAATCAAATAACAAAATCAGAAATCGACGAGTAAGCGAATAATTAAAGCGAGAGATATAAAAGCTAGATGTATATCTATCGAGAGTCGGGATTCGAAATCTATCAATTTTTGAATTCTTAATATATGAAAAATAACAGGACTAAAACAT